AGTAGCTCAAAACTTGTCGTCGTATTGGTATATTATTAGATACTGATACGGAAAAGATATCGTATTGGTTATTATTAGATACTGATACGGAAAAGATATAGATAGATGCCATGAAAGAAAAGTCCAGAAATTTTATTTATACTAATATTTTGACAATGTCTATCACGAAATTTCTCATATTAAAATTTTGCCATATTAATAAAGAAGCTTCGTATCACATTTATATAGGTTGACGTTCGCATAAACATATCAAATTACCGAGATTGTAGATGAAATGTTTGGCATTGCTCACATATAACGAAGTACTGAGTAAATATAGTAATCAGTAAGCTATAATGAAACTAAACATATAAAAATACATTGTACGATATACAAATCTGTGGATTTCAATCAAGACTTTAGAACTTAGATATTACTGTATTAGGCAAGATTTCAAAGTTTTCTCTTTGCATCATCCCATAAATGCTATTATCACAATTTTGGTAATGTAAAGCCACAAAAACTTTATATATACAATATGAGCTCGAAAAAAAATCGCGGCAATAAAGTTTTGGAAACTGTGGCAGAACTATAGTAGCACTAGTAAATACAATGCAATAAAAAGCAAAAATGTTTAATGAGAAATTTCCTTTTTTGCGACTCACGATAAATACAAAAATATACAAATAAAAATATAATGGGTCAAATAAATTGGAAAATATCCAGAAAAAAAAAATAACAAAAAGCTGATATAATAATGGTGTTAAAATTAATTAAATAGAGTAACATCCATGAAAATACGAATTCAAATATCAATATACAACCCAATTTAAAACTTTTCAACTATCATTATTCGAGCGTTTCACTAATGATTTTGCACAACTCCTTGAAGCTGAATACGATTATGTCATAATTAAAGTTGAAGATCAAAATTTCAAGTTACATTCTTTAATCTTATATCAAAGTTCATTTTTTTGTCAGGAATTACCAACCACAACTAAAAAGAATAGCATTATTGAAATCATTCTAACTCACATTTCTGTTGAAGCTTTTAAAATTTTAATCAAGCAATTATTTAATAATAAAATCTAATTACAATTGGAAATTCACCGACATATATGTATATTTATATTTTATTATCGCAAGATGCAATCTCAAAAGTTTAAAATTAGCATTACACTTCAATAACATGGGCCATTTTTTGAAAACAACGTGCCTGGAAAACTTCAAATTTGATTTAAAATTATTTTTACAGTAAATTTACAACTTAAAGATCCTTTAACTTAAATATATTAATTGTGGTATAGGTTCATTAGAAAATGTTGAACTATTTACTATGCTTGATCTTCTAATATATTCCAACAAATTATGTTTAGTTGAGTTAGTTGAACAGATTTAGTCCTTGCTTATCGATAAAAAGATATTTTGGCTTCGATTAAAATTTATTTGATTTGTTTTTAAGAGAACAATTTTAAAGCTTTACAAACTTTTTACACTGATTCTGTATTATTACGATGAATTGAATTTATTTCTATTCATGAAGATACATAAATAGCTCTTTTAAAACCAATGATTTACAAATTGATGACTCTGAAATTTGGAATAAGGTACATTCTGCCTTCAAGCCACACTTGACAAATATATTCGGTATTGTCAAATGTCTGGAAAAGAAATTGTAGCAAAAGTCAAGTGTTATAGAAAACCCTAGGAACAAACTTATTGGATAATATTTACAATGAGTCTTATTGATCCTAATACATCTATTTCTTCAACTGCTTTACCTGTCGTAAAAAAATTCCTGTTCAGCTTCTTGTACGTGATGTTCACTCTATTAATTCATTGTCTATTGTCAATTATAAACATTTTGCAGAGATTTCATCTTGGATCAGTTGTCATCTGTAACATGTGTCGTCACAAAATGCCTTGTAAGTTTAATTTATTTCTTAAAGGAAGCACAGACGGATTTATTTGTGAAGAATTTCATAGATAAAGCGATAATATACCTGGCATAGTAACTTTTATAAAGGTAATGGCAAAGAAAAATACTTGCTAAATATAATTCGTTAATCTGGTCATCTACTTTACAGAAACTTCATTTTTTTTATTTAGGCTTATTAGATGAATTTAAGATAAATTTAAGATAATTTTATTATTATAATTAAGATTAACTTAAACAAATCTTAAAAGTATTATAATATAATTAAATGATAGAAATAAAATCAAAATAAGATAGTAATAAAATTAAAATAAATAGTTAAATAATTTTAATATAATTAAAATAAGATAATTAATTCATTATAATTTAATTAAAATAAGATAACTAAATTATTCTAATGCGATTAAAATAAAATAACTAAATTGTTCTAATACGATTAAAATAAAATAACTAAATGGCTCAAATACGATTAAAATAAAATAACTAAATTGCACTAATGCGATTAAAATAAAATAACTAAATGGCTCAAATACGATTAAAATAAAATAACTAAATTGTTCTAATACGATTAAAATAAAATAACTAATTGCTCTAATGCGATTAAAATAACTAAATTACTTTAATATAATTAAAATAAGATAATTGAACTGCTTTAATGCGATTAAAATAAAATAATTGAACTGCTTTAATGCGACTTAAATAAGATAATTGAATTGCTTTAATACGATTTAAATAAGATAATTAAATTACTTTAATATAATTAAAATAAGATAATTGAACTGCTTTAATGCGATTAAAATAAGATAATTGAACTGCTTTTATAAGACAATTGAATTGCTTTAATGTGAGATAGTTAAATGAAACCGGAAATAAGATAGTTAAATTACTTTAATATAATTAAAATAAGTCAAATAACTTCAATGATATTTTTTCATATATTAATGCTGCAAGTATTATTTTAAAAATTATACCATGCATATATGTAATCATCTGAATTCTGAAATATTAAACATGTTAATATAATTTAGTTAAAAAAAGATGCTTGGAATATTTAAAAGGAGTTATAAATACTATGTAATAGATATTTAGTTTCTTTGTAAAGTTGCATTGCAAAATTACATTTTTGTACTTAATGTAATTTTAGCAAATTAATTTTCTTATATAAAGCATCAGTATTATTTTGGTAAGCATTTATTTCATCGTTTGATCAGAAAATTTGATCCGAATATAACTTGTTATATACTCCTAGATCAATGCAAATAAAAGAAATATAAATAAGAGATAATGTGTATAATATCATAGATCTATACAAGTATCTTAAGTACCTTGTGCAATATATAATACAGTAGGATTGTTAATTTAACTGCATAAAAGTCGTACCGTGGTTCTGGGTAAGTTATATTGAATTAAGAGTTAATACAGTTTAACGATTAGAAATTTAGGCAGTCCCAATCACTAATAAATATCTGTAAATTCGATAGTTTACATTAAACACGCTGGTAATTAATATTATTCACGAACTACAAGAATTACATAGTTCGAATCATAATAAATTCGAGTTTTGAACACACCTAATAAGCCCAACTGTTAATTATATCCGCATATTTTTCTCTACAGGACCTTATAATATCTTTTTTTTTGATTGTGATAACAAACTATCAACGAAGTGAATTTACTCATCTCTTTCTCAATTTTCGCTTTTAGTTATCTAATATCTTCTCAATCGGTACAACATTCTTCTTTGTTTGACTCTTCTCTCTTCTACTTATTGACATTGCTTATTTGATTTTCAACTTCAATACGAAAAGATTTTATACTCACAGACCAATTTAGCGTGAATAAATTACTAGTGATATAAGTTTAAATGATATATTTTAAATATGTAAAAATTGTTGAAAAGACTTTCAAATTCTGTTACTACTATAGTAAGTCCAATTCGAAAAGATACACCAATTCTTCAAATAACTTAATGTATGCCTTAATAAAATGTTTAATTAATTTTTTGGATAGTTGTTGAAAGAATTTCGTCTGTGTAATGCTCACTTTGAATTAGCCCAAATCTATTATTTCTTAATCAATGTTACCTTTTCAATCACATTATCGTATATTTTTAACTCAAGTACACCGTGACTATTTTTAGAGATTTGAGCTTTGATAACTATTAAAGCTAACACTCAATGATTGCTATAACAAATTCTCGCTCTTATGAATCCAATAGCTTAATTTTTTTTTTTTTGTAAATTGAATTTGGCATAATAATCATGTCGTTTTAGCATTTTGGATCTTAAATAACATAGCGACGTATTTTTAAGTCATATAATAATTTAATTTTAAAATGTTATTCTTCATATCCAAGAGGATTTAGGATTTAGGATTAAGTTTTCGTAGAGAAACTCAAAATGTATTTTTCATAAATTATTAAATAAAAAGTTGCAATTTTTGTACCTTAAATTTAGCATAATAAAACATTATAAAACTTGCACTATAATAGCTTAAAAAATTCATTATATGTATTAAATAATATATATTTATACATGTTCTATTTTGAAGATTATTCGAATACGTAGAGGTTTCATAATAATTTATTATGCCAATTTTTAAATACAAAAATTAAATACATAAATGTGATTTTGTGATCAATACGTATTACCGAATCGTTCAATTTCCTTACTTGGAAGAGTACCTAAATGAAGCAATTAAAATTATGGCAAGAACGTTATTTCTATGTATGATATACATGGCGAAAATTGTAGTTATCTGAATATAGTAAGTTATTGAAGCAACGTTTTGATTCTTAATATAAGCGATTTAACTCTATCAGATATAGCATTAGTGTTCAGTATTTGACAAATCGAAAATTTAAAAAATACATGCATCTTTGTTGCCAGCCAAAACTAAAAGTTCGGCTGAGTAATTACCTCCAACTAGTAAGTAAATTTAAGAAATTGCAACAATTCACCTATGGTAATCTGTTTATTATAATTCTATAAGATTATGTGAATCGGCAATATATTTATTGGGTAAACAAAACACTAATTTTGAAATGAAAGATAATTAACACTCACTTGTAAATAAGATTTCCATATTAAATTGTTTTAAAATAAAAATCATTATGCAGATAATTTCGATTATTCTGATCATGTTGGGCACTGTCACAAGTCTGTTTGCAGTCATGCAAAAAATGATATCGTTGCTGATGCTCGACCATCGAAATAGTAAAAATACGTCGCCATTGATGATTGTTTGTGTGTTGAAGTCGAAATTGTTCACATTCTAATATTGGATGAGTTTTTTTTAGATCCTCAAACCAATCAAAAATAAAAAATGCATAGACCTGGCCATTATTTGCATGGTGCGTGATAATAGCTTTGACTAGTGCAAATGAATTATTGTCAAGATCGCTGATCTCCTTTAATTCGACTATATCGCCAACTTTAACTTTAACATGAAAACCGGTTTTTTCATGTTCTGTTAAAGAATTATCATTGTCTTCTACAATGGTATAACTAATATAATCAAAAAAAAAAACTCTATATGTGTTTAAAGAGCAAACATTTTAAACTCTTCACAGTAGGCATTATATAGGTCTGAGCCAAGATTATTATTATCTTTGTTGAGGTTCCAGCCACCAAAGCCCATTTCTTAAATCTTCTTAATTTGCCAAGGTTTTCGAGTACGAATATTTATAAAATGACGATCATTGCAAAAAATCTCTAAAAATATCAATATAATATAGTCGTCTATAAGAAGCTTGGTAGTAAATTTATCAATTAAGACAATATATAGTCAATTTTTTCTATAACGAACTGGATATTTTGAAAGGAAAAGTTCATTATAGAAAATTACTATGTTTTCTTAACAAACTCATGGTACTTTTTATACTGAACTATTATGAAGTTTCAAAATTTTGAGTTTGATATAGCCAGAGTTGATTGTAGTAACTTTATTCTGAAAGCTAATTAAAATAGATAAAATAATACTTTAAACAAATAAAAATTACCATTTGTTTCATTATCTTCAGATTCTGATTCGATAATTAGGTCAGGTGATTTTGTAATAAACCATTCTGAAAGCAATGGTTCTAATAAAGAACGATTTGTATAACAACCCGAATCTGGGACACATTCATCTTGTCCTCCATCAAGCCAAAAACGTAATGCTTGAAGTGTATTGTACTTTCTTAAAAGGTTAAGGTCAATCCTTTTTTTATTTGTATGTGGGACAAAAGCTTTAAATAAACCATGCACGGACTCTTTTAACACTACAAGCAGTATTAACTAAAGTTCTGTAATTTTTCGCATTCGCAACTAGATGTGTATTGACGTGAAGATTTGGAAGATAAAGGAATTCTTCCGGAAACACCTAATGATTACAGCATAATAAATCAATAAAAATTCTGTAAATACTAGGCATAGTACTAAAACAAGATACTACGTCTATAATTGTAGGACCCTGACGACAAGCATATCAATAGTAAGTGCCAAGCACAATACTATTAAAATCTAGTGCTGAGCACAGACACTATATTTTAATAATACCATGTATAGCATTTGCAAACCCTAATTAATAGATACCTTTATCAAGTAATTATATTCTTTTTTTAATGCTTTGGACAAATTTTCAAAATAGTCATCTTTTGAAAACGTAATAACAAATGACTGCTTTATAGAATGAGAAAGCACACCCAACACCTTATAATCATATTGATTACTTGATCTTGGCATGAGCACTCCGTTGTGTTTAAAAGATCGGTAAGCATATTTTCTTTTATATGTTGAATTGTTAAGAAGCGACTCAAAATAAAAGGCATCAGCATTGCAAGATGAAATAAATCCGACATCATAAAACTTCTCTGGTGAGTAATAGGATTTGGTAATTTGGACCAAAATTTTGGCAATTTAATTGATTTCCATATCTTTAAAAAAGCATCATTTCCTTTATCATTAAAAAGCACTAGTGTGCACTCAGTTAATCGTTTTATCTTTCTAGCCATTGCATGATAGATATCTTGAGGACATTGTTGATGTCTATCATAGTATAGTCGGTCCAAAATATTCCTTTCTAAGCATAGTCCATACTTCTTAGCAACTTTTATTTTATTTATTAAACTTTTTTGAGACTCTATTTCAGAAAATTGCATATTTGTAATGTGATGATAACGAGCATGGCGTATAATATCATAGTTATAGTTGGTCAATTCTTGCGTTTCTGCTTCGCAGCTTCTATACCCACGGTTGGAACTATGTCGTTTAACTTCACTAAGGTCATTCCCCTGGGGTAAATCGGCAGTAACCACACCCAAACCGCCCCTTATATAAACCTCTTCTCCATTATATAAAGTCTTTACAAAAAAAATAATAAATCAAATTAGTAAAAATAAATAAAATTAATAAAAAATAAAATAAAATAAAAACTAAATAAAAATAATAAAAAATAAATAAAATTACTGTACAGCACTGCATACAGTACTCCGGGTACTTTACAAAAAAGCCAAGATTAATTAAAAATACCCTCAAGATTAGAGATATGCCGGGATATTTTTTTAAAATGAATAGAATCCCGGTACTATTTAAAGAGGATACATCTTTAAGAGGACTGTATGCGGCGTTATACAGTAATAAAATAAATAACAATTGGGTTTTTGATACGAAATACTAATAAAAAAAAATTAATACAAGCATCATGTTCAAAATATTAATATAGATTTTAACATGCTAGTAATATAGTTAAACTTAATATAACCTGTGTTTAGCACGAAAAGACAAATAATGCGTGCGTTAATAAAAAAATTGTATTTACCATACGAATACCATTTTGCAAAGTTTGCATATCTGCAATGAATGGTTCTATAAAATCAGAAAAGCTAGCACCAAATGGCACAAATCCTATAGGAAAATAGTTCTTCAACAACTTTCGTAGATGAAAAGGCATGTTTCCAAATTGGACATAGACACCACCGAGTGAATGGTAAACATTTCGAAAGGTTCCGAAATCATCATGATATAAATCTATAAAGATTCGTAAACATCGAAGGTTGGATGGTATTGGAGGTAAACTCATAGTTTCATTTGGATGTCTATGTCGATAGTGTATTGGATGAATCATCCATGATCGGTTATGCTGATATATGATTTCATCCACGAAGTATTCATACTTTTTAGGTTCAGGTTGGTCCATAAACCAAATTTTAACATGGCTTCGAATTCGTGTAGTTGACATTGTCACAAATCGTTCATCAACTAACCATAAACATCCACATTTTGATTTTAAGCATCTTTCAGCAGAGCGCAAATGTGCTGGTATCATGGAATATTTCAAAAGTTGTTGTACTTTTACTCGTAAAGTATCATTTACTTGAACGAATGCTCTCAGAAAACTGACTTGCAAATGATTTTGTTGATCTACGTAAGATATAAAACTACCAGTTCGATATATCACTGTGGCTTGACCTAAAAAGTATAGAATTATAAACATAGTGAACAATCATAAGTTCTATTTAAAATCTCTAAATTATAACTACAAGTGTTACAATAATATTATATTATCTTGGAATAGGGTAAGAATAAAAGATACAGATAAAATAACTGAATACCGTACTGCATTGATTAAAAGGTCTGGGTCTAAAACAACATATCTAACCAAAGAACTTATAAACTATATAAGCATATTATATAACAGATGATTTTTCATTGTGAATATTTTAAATTCATATACATTTTTCATTTGTGATAAGTAGTTTAGAATCTTAAATTTTTGTAATTTTTAATCATGTATTTCATGTAAAGGCACCTTTTAATCAATGCAGTATAGTATTTGATAATTATCTATAAATCTTCGTAAAATACCTGGAAACGTCGCTTTTAATGTATCGTCACTAAGTAAAGGTGATTCAGACCAAATTCTTCTATGCCAAAATTCCATTCTATCTTCCCCTTCGATGCCGGGGCCAAAGTACATTTTCGAGAAAAGTTTAGGATTTTTTAAAACTTGCTTTATATAGTCAATGATAGAAAGAGTATATGCAATTTTGGATGATAACGACGTGGAAGGTGATTTGTGAATATTAATTCGAACTTTATGCTGGCGAATTGGAAGAGTTGGCAATCTTAGCCGATATTGCTTCAAGGTGCGTATATTTCGTGGCATCTCAAGAGAGTTGAATTGGCTATGCAAAATAATAGTTACAAGTTCCTGATAAGCCGCAGTTGCTAGTAGTAAAAGTTAATAAAAATTAGTAATTTTACAGAAACTTAGATTTCTTATGCACAGTAACAATATAGTAATTGTATAGCAACTATCTAGTTACCATTAAACTTAATAGTTACCATATAGTTACTATGTAGTTACTGTGCATTAAGTTATTCAGATTTTTGTATAAAAAAATAATATAGTAAAAAAACAGTTAAGAGGTAAATCGTGATTAAAGAATAAAAAAAAAAATTATGAGAAAGTTAATATAATGTTTTATAATGTTGGAATGCAACTAGTTTACAATGAATTTTTTTTTTTTTTTTTTTTTAACTAAACAAGCCTTCCTTGAGTTTTTAATATTGCAAACCAAACTATTCCAGTTTTAATAGTGGTATGAGTTATTGGCATTTTCTTCGTGACTGTGATTCTTATATATTGCTAGAAACTTCTAGCATTCCAATATTATATAACAGAAATAGTGATTCACGACCAATTGTTACTATGAAATCTATACCTTCAACTACGATTTACCACTTAATACATTTTAGCTTACAGATAGAATGCTTGGTCACCCAAGTGAAAAAGGACATTTCAGTGAAATTCGTAAAATATGGGCTAAATGTATTTTCAAATATTCCTGAAAGTTGACTCATTGGTTTCTCAAATATAAAGTCAGTAACATTATTTTCGCCTACGAAATCTTCTTCAGAGAGATCGTCTGACTCATCATAATTTTCTTGACCTGAGCAATCCGAAAAAACATCATCGCTTCCCTGAAAGTTGTCTTGGTCACTCGATTTTTCAAAATGTTGCAAGCCGGAATAATAAGAAAAGACATCATCTTGATTGTCATCCTCCTGGTGATCATCCTGATGGGATGAAAAATACTGCTTTTCAATATTTTCACTTGGAAAACAAGTTTTAGCTTCATTGAGAGTAACATTAGATGATGTCGAAATGTTACTATTTATGATTTGCAATAAGTTTTGACTTGTATCATCTACTTCTAGTTCAGCAGAATCAGGATTTTGAAATGATTCATTTGTAATTGAGAAAGAGGTTTGCAATAAGTTTTGACTTGTATC